CCCCCCCCGGGTCCAGCTCTGGGGGCACCAACAGCAGAAGGACACGGACCTGCTGGAGCGGGGCCAGAGGAGGACACAGAGATGCTGGGGGGGCTGGAGCCCCCCCTGTGAGGACAGGCTGAGAGAGCTGGGGGGTTCAGCTGGAGAAGAGAAGCTCCGGGGAGACCTTAGAGCGGCCCCCCAGGGCTGAAAGGGGGGAGGGACTCTTTATTGGGGGGTGTAGGGATAGGACAAGGGGTGATGGTTTTAAACTGAAAGAGTGGAGATTTAGATTCTTCCCTGTGAGGGGGGTGAGGCCCTGGCACAGGTTGCCCAGAGCAGCTGTGGCTGCCCCCTCCCTGGCAGGGTTCAGGCCAGGTTGGATGGGGCTTTGGGCAACCTGGGCTAGTGGAAGGTGGCCCTGCCCAGGGCAGGGGGGTGGGACTAGATGATCTTTTAGGTGCCTTCCAACCCAAACCATTCTATGATTCTATGACACACTGAGTGCCCCCACAGAGCTATATCGATTCAAGACCCAGCAAGAAATGACTGACCTCACCTGTCGAGACACTGCTTCCCTCCCTGTGCAACAACAACAACAAAAAATAATCAAGTCTTAAAGCATTTTTTAATCAAAATGCTAGAGGAAACCAAGCTTATTATTTGAAAAGTGAAAAGGAGGAGACAGATCAAGCTCAGGAAACAGAGTGCAATTGGGAAGAATTCTCTTTTTAACAGATCAGAGATGCCCATCAGGACAGTGCTGAAGGCATCTGTGGTCCAGTTTGCTTTCTTTTTTCTATCTGGCAGAAGGGGAGATGCAAAAGTCTCCTGCTCAGCCCAAGAAGTCCCTGTCCTGCACTCATTCCCACACACTGGGCTTTCAAGCCATGCCTCACAGCTGGCTGCCCCCGGTGGGGACTGGCCAGGGAAGACAGGTCAGATACAGCATCCCACCGGTCACCTTATTCCATCCAGGCTGGACAGAATGCGAAACAAGCCCAGTGGAGGTGAGGCTCCGGGCAATACAACGCTCCTCCATCCCCCCTGCCATCGCCTGCTGTGGGTGCGTGGTCCCTTCTCAGCCACAGAGCAAAGCAAGCCAGCAGTCTGGAAGAACTGCCGGGCAGGAGATGGTCTCACAAAGAAGTGTCTCTGGTGTGAAGAGAGAAGCGAGTGGTATGAGAGAATTAGGGAGGACTTGAGAGTAGGTTTTCTCCCTCCACGCAGCATGCATCACACTCATCAGAGCCTTCTTTTCCAGAATCAGAAGGTAACCCCACAGCCTCAGCAGGCAAGGCATGCACTAAAGTCAATCAGAAATAATGGGAACAGGTTTTTTTATACGGATGCAGGTACCACCTGATTTCAGTAATATCAGTAGTTAACAAGACTATTATTTCTCTAGAGCACGTAACGCTTTGGATTAAAAGAAAAACAACAAGGAAACCACACATGCACAAATGTACACATGCAGACTGAGTTCAGAAGTACCCGTCATTGTTGTGTTGATTTAATTATAACATTTCCCACTGCGTTGTGCAGAAAGATCATCTGTGAAGAGTCTAGCAGGGTGCAAACATTTAAATCACTTGCCTTTCAACTCACCACCTCAACAACTCAAGACACTGGCTGAATCCATGAGGTGCTGATTTGTAAATGATTTGCCTGCGGATTGTGGTGTTCAACAGTCTGACAAAAGGAAGTGTAAATGACCATGAGACAAGCCAGAACAGAGAGGACACTAGCTGAATTTAAAAAGGTTTTGTCTATAGTTATCGGTTTGTTTTTCAACACGAAGTAAAAATAGTACATGTAACAAAAACTCGATGCAAAAAAAACCTAAAACAAGTCAAAATAAGCCTACCCCTAAATCCTGCCCTAAACCCCTTAACTATCCATATAAAGTAACTGTTCAGATACCCATCGACTATGTACCCAGTGACAACATCCCAAAGCATTTTATAAGGCACTCTCACAGTTTCCTGGCAGCAGATAAAGGATGCCTGGTTTTTCCTGTGTAACACTTTCCTTGATAGTCACAAAAGATCCCATAACCTTGTCAGTACAGTTCTGGTTGTCTGAATGTATCTGATCAAAGGCAACCTGCAGTTATATCTGCTTGCTTCCCTACCCTCCCTCGCTCAGAAAAGCCTGTGGTCACATCCAGTCGTGCTAACTGCAGCCTGCCTACCCTTGGAAAGACAAAGCTCTACCTGCAGGCCCCAACGGGCAGTAGCCTTTCGGATGAACTTTCTCATCCGAGTGCTTCAGCGAAGCAAAAGTTCTGCGAAAGAGCTTTCTAAAACCACTTCCGCTTCATTGTGCAACAATTTGGGCGAATTTAGTCTAAGATGCAATGACTTAGACTAAGCTTCCGTTACCGGGATGGGAACACACTTTGCCATAGTATATAATCAATAACCCATACACAGTTAACACACTTGTTTGACAGGGAAAGGATCATAGCCCACATACACCATCAGGAAGCAAGTGGGAGCAGAACATTATGCAGTGCCAGTCCAATTAAACTTAAATTCTATGGAAAAGGAGTAAAAAAGCATACAAATATTACAGCCAAGTAGACTAATAGCCCACAATTTTAGTCTGTGTCTCAGGCTGTCAAAGCACTGAGTAACTGTCCAATTAGTCATCAGAAAAAATGGCTGTTGCACTCAGTAAGACTGAGAACGTTTCAACACCATCCCCCAGAGTTACTCCCTCCGTGCTCAGTAGCCTTTCTACATCTCACAATCCATCCATCACTTAACTCAGATGTGTTCTTCTTTCAAGCCATTCTCTAATTTTAGTTTGCACCACTAAGTACTATTCCCCCCCTTGGGCCAAGTTTGGATTCCACTCTTGGTTTCCCAAGAAACAAATTTACAGGAGCTGGGAACAGAGGATCCAAGAGAAAAATGCCAAGGAGGGGCTGGCTCACAAGAGCATCTCTGGAGTTTGAGCGCCTGGTCCGCCATCAGGTACACAGTGCATCAATGCCTCCAGCTGCTTTTGGTCATCAGTTGAAACTCCAAAACTAGGATCAGCATATAAGCCTGGTCAGTCATGTTGTGGCCCACATCTTTCCAACCTAAACATCCTCATACATCGCTGTCTGCAGCACACATGCTATGGCACTTTTCCCACTCAGGAATGGCTTCCATTGCAGGGGAAGGCTACACATCTTCTCTGGATACCCAAAGCTTTTGCTTTCACTGTTGACTCACTCAACTTTGCCTTGCCTTAAAGACTTTCTTGATTTTTATGCATCTTAACCACTTTGAAAAACACTATTTGCCATCAGCGTAAAAGAATGGAAAGGCTTTTGAAAGGCGGACAATGAGCTGGCTCCACTCTCTGCGAAGCCTCAATCAAGAGGAAAACGGCAGGCAATCTTTCATGAAATACAAAAGAAACGTTTCTAAGGGACCACAGTTTAATCTATGCCAAACACCTCTGAACAAATGAAAATGAAGCATGTGACTCTTCCAGTTAACAGACACAATGGAGTTGTTATTCTGCCCCCATGTTTTGTAGCATACACTAAATTAACCCATGTCAGTGAAACGCCAAGGGAGTTCATTGCTGAGAGCCACTTGTAATACAGTCTGTAACAGGTAAAAACTTCCATCTGTGGGTGAAGTAAAACCAGAGGAGCTCTGAGAAAGCAACCTGCGACTACTGAGAGAGCGACGCTCACTATTCTTCACTGCTCTGTTAGTGTTTTCCACATTAGCACTCAAGAGCACGCTATGATTGAAGAGAGTTATAAGATGACTTACACTAGCAACAGGCACTTCAAAGAAGCCTTGCATATAGAAAGGACAGACGTAGAGGTCATGTAGGAGGATTTATTGCATACAGAAAGCAGGCGGCATCCTTCACACAGCCTTTCTTTGGCCTTTGCCAGAGAACAGCCATAGCTCTGCACTTTTTTTGAGATGGGAATGCTTCTTTAAAACATTCTTTAGGTTTTCCAAACCTGGCCATAGATCCCCTCTCTTGTGGCAAGGCTCAGAAACTGTATCAGTTGTGTTATAGATTTTCTGCAAAGAACAAATTACTGCCAGAACAGCTACCACCTGCCCTATCTCCACTTAGTTACTTCTGGGACACAAACAATACCTCCTTAAAAGCATTGATCTAAGAATGATGCATCAAAGCAGCACGTTTACTCACAACTGAGAGCTGTCACTGACCCATGGTGGGTCATAGCACAGTGGGGTGGGGAGCCCTGAACACTGCAGCCGTGGGGACAGAGATGTATGGCCACACAGAGACCCCCCAGCCCTGTCACAAGGCAGGTAGAAACTAGGGACACTCCAGGGAGTGGTTTTCTGGAAGCACTTAGGACTCAGAAATGAAGCCTCTTTCTCTGAGTAGCCCTTCAGGATTTTGTTGACAATAAAGAAAACTGGCAGTTTTTGAAAACAATTTGGCAAAAGTTTAATAGGCAAATCCTTATCTTAAAAAAAAAAAAGAGAATGGAAGATACTGCCTACACAGAACATGAAACCATTTCAGTGGCTACATGTGGTTTGGATTCATACATGCCATGATTATAAGTGACAGAATAACACAATTTTTTCTGAACTGACCCACAGCTCTGCAAAAGAGTAATCAGATATCTCTTCCACAGACATGTCTTGGGTTATGATAAATTGCACATACCTCACCTTTGTGTTTCAATTCAGAAACAATATTAAGGACTTGACAGTGAACTTTGCAAAACTATAAATGCTCACCAACATCGTGGATAAATCGCTCAATTTTCGACTGCATCCCCCAGTATCTGAACTCGACTTTACACAGTTTATATGCACACATGATGGGGTATTTCCCAGGGTTGTTCTTGTACTCTTGAATCCAGTCTTCTGAGAGAGGGCCTCTTTTAGTCTTCGCTGATTTATACAGCTTTGGATCCTCCTCAGCTTTGTATTCATGTGGAGGAATAGGATCTTTAACAATATCAATAGGATCTATAGAAAGAGAATGGAAACAGTGAGACATTTCCTTTTCCTGAACAAAAGAAGAAAATACCATTTTTCAGGAGTTATTTCTGTTTTCATAAGTACCAGAAGCATTACAGCAATTTAATTTCTTTTTACTTACAGTTAAACAGCTGATATTTAAATTGTTTATACATTGCTGCTGGGCAGTGATCATCTCTGCCAGAGGAACTAGTACGCACAGTTCCAGCAAACAGAGGCTTTGCTCCAAATAGATGTTTTTGCCCACAGTTGACTGCAGATCCACAGCACTCTGGCAGATCTGCACACTCCGTCTTTCCAGCTCCAAAAAAAGATCTTTTGCACGTTTCAGCCTTCAGCTTTTCTAATACCACTCTGGGCTACAGCCTTGTCTCATCTGAGACAGTTAAATGCACCTGCCCTGTCTTAGCACTGGTATGGAAAAGCCACAACCCACTGAACAGCTTATCTGTGGAGTCCCTCAAGTGAGGTTACGGTAACTCCTCATGTGGTATTGGCAGACCAGATGTACTATGGAAAGAAGGTTTAACTTAGGTCTTAATTAACACTTCAAGAACGGAGAAGTGAAAACTGCAACGGGAGCAGAGTGAATGAACATATTTTAAAGATCTGCAACCCCCATCCCAGACCTCAGCAGAAGCATCTGAAGTTTGGATTGAGGGGCAAGATCACACTTCCCAAGAAATGACAGCTCTTCTGACACTTCTCAATGAGGCAGCAACTTAAGCCGATTTGCTCACTACTGAAAGCCAGACCAGACAGGCTTAGGAATGAGGACAGTCAAACTGAAATTCAAACCAAAAGAAGTTTAAGCCACATAACACTCAAGTAAAATTGCAGGGGGTTACTGCCATGTCCTGCATGTCAACAGTGCTCAAGGAGCCAGAGCAACCACCAAACGTCCTTTCTCAGAGGTCCCGCTGTGGCCAGCGCAGCACGGGCTGCCAGAAGCCAGCCCGAGCTCAACACTTCTCCAGTCCCATCAGCTTCAGAGCAAGGGATGCTTCAGTCCCGTGGGGCTGTAACTGCCAGCACTCCTGCCACACAGCTGGGACTCCAGAAAAATGCCATGGGCACAGACCTGGATGGACTGCAAGACAGGAATTGCTACGACACTTGACATTCTCTGCCTTGTTTAAGATGTTCCCTTTTGCCTTGTTCTCATTAAATCCTTACATATATAAGGTTCATTAACCCGACCTTCCAAAGAGAGCTGTGAAGCTTAAGTGTTAACCTGCACGAGGGCAGGACTAAAAGGAGAGGCAGCAAAAATGAAATACACCTTCATGTTTCAGAAGCGCAGATTTTCATATACGCGAAGGAGCTGTGCAATTATACAGCAGTATTTTCCTCTTCTGTGGTTATTTCTACTTATTACCCCTAAAATCATTAAATGTTTTACTCCCCTCAGGAGCTGCACCCAGCGGTAAGACAGGAAAGCATCAGCTTCAATTTACAGACACGGGATTCAAATTATTTCCATGTGATTTACATCAAGCCTAGAAAAAAAACAACTCGGGTGTCCTCACTCTACTTGATGTAACCCTACACAGCAGCCTGAACCAACAGGGGGGCAGGTGTGTGGTTGGGGGGGATGGACAGGCAGATGGGACATACCGAGAAAAAAAAAAAAAAAAAAGCAGAATAAAAGAATAAATAAATAAATTTTTTAAAAAGCTATTCACCTAGAATGGTTTGTCTTTTTTCTGTAGGAGAAAGGTTGAACACGTTGACATGCTCTCCTGGGTCAGTTTTGTAGTACGTCTCAATATCAATAGAGAACTTCTCCACAAAAGGACACGTATACCTGAAGGCGAGAACAATGCAGCTTAGAGTAAATCCTGCTCAGCTTGACAAGGGAAGAAAATGCTTTCCTAAGATGTTTAAAACCAGCCTCAAATCCAAGCCAGTCTTCACTCATGTTTTACTTCAGATATGCTTAAAATACCAACTGTACAGATTTAAAGAGATTTTCTTTAATAACTTCTTAAGACAGGAGCTCACCTTGGACATATGGCTTCACTGGAATAGCTCTGGTTTAGTAAAACCCCAAGCCCACAGCAAAGGGGTGTGCTCCCCATGAGCTGTTACATGGATTACAGGTCAGAGGATACCAACACACCCCGGGCAGTGACTGGGGACTGGGCACCCACACTGACCAAAAAACAACTTCCCAGCTGGCAACAAGCAAGTAGAAAGCCCGAGGGGACCACCAAGTCCTCTCACTTTGTAGAGACACTGACAAAAGCCTGCAACTTAATTTGACAATGTCTCATCCAGGATACTATTATCAGGACAGGCTGTATTTAAAGGAGCAGTTTGCAGCACGGAGATAACTTTCGGGCCCACTATACTAATCACTTATGTTATGACACAGATCCTAAATACAAGGACACCCTGGAAATGCACCTCTACCAGGAGAAAAGCAGAGTCTTGCCTGGAATCTACGGCAGAATAAAATACAGACTAGTTCTGGGCAGCACCAGGTTTCCTGGCCAACTGATTGACTCACAGGCATTTCAAGAGGATAAATAAAAACAGACTGGAAGTGGACTTCAATCACTTGAAAGTCAGACAGCTCCATAATATTTAGGCACAAGCAACTCCCATACACAGATGGTGACTCCCCACCTTTCCCCAGACTAATGTAGAGACCAGCTAAAACAGAACTATGAAACTTTTCTAGATTTTTGCTAAAAATCAAAATATCCATTGAAGCCTTTTTATTACGATGACAGCAATATCAGACTTACAAACCTGGGAAAAAAGCAAATGCTCTAAACCAGAGTAACTACCATAGAGGCTCTTTACTCCAGGGTATCTGGAGTCTTCCCAGACAAAAATCAGCTGAAACAAGGAGGTCCCAGAGGGTTCCACAGAACCTCTGGCTCTCTTCCCTCCTCAGGGTGAAGACCACAGGATGTAGGTTTGTTATTTTCTAGCTAAACGACAGTAAGACAATTCCCAGAAAAGAAGCACCAAATTTATTTATTTATTAAGATTTTTCTCTCCCCACACTTTTCTCCCTTAGAACAAATGAGTCCTGTCTTACTTCAGGGTGTTCAACATGACAAATGTCCCATTACCATGCACATTTATAACTTCACTGAGCCAGCGGATACCTGCAATGCTAAGCAGAACTAAAATAGACTAAATAAAAAACATTCAAGATTTCCCACACTTTGACAGACAAAACAGCTCACAGTTTAGAGAAAGCAGGCACAAATTCTCAAGGACATACGCAGTCAGTCCAGACAACACTTGTGCTCCTGAGATAACTGCAGGACTTGAGCCCAGTTTCTCAAACGGATATTACTGGAGATGGAAGAGATGTCACTGCTACGCAGAGTGACATCAAATGCTTTCTCTAGAATAGGGAAACAGCTCTGGACATTTTGCTACGTTTTACCTTGTCCTGGTATAAGGATATGCATTCCATGATTCCTCTTCGACTCGCAGAGCTGCCTTGGGCAATATTGACCGAAACCAGCTGGGTATGTGCATACCAATGTGGTACACTTTGTGAGTATACTGCCCGTTGCCTCCCGGTCCATCCATGTATGGTCTGTTCTCCAGGATCTCTACTCCGCTGCCTTCCCCACATGTCTCCTCTCTGCTTTTTTTCTGAAAGGGAAAATATATCACAGATGATCATTCCAGTGCATTGTACATACCAAGGTCTCAAAGCACATTTGGGAATGGTTTCTCGGACTCCTTTTGAGCAGAGCTTCGTACAGACAGCAGAACTGTAGCAGCACCCTGGCAGTAAGATTACCAAAATGAGAGATTATAAAGGAAAAATTTAAAGACTCATCTGGCCAGCACAGGAACAGAGATTTCATTTATAATGGACTCTGTAAAAATCTGGATTTGGACATTAAGAGACAGTTTGAATGGAGACCTAATGACACATCCATTCCTGTTCCTGTAACAGGTTACACACTGCCCTTGCTGGGAGTGCCCTAAACCTCAGCTCCAGCTGCGAGCCACCTAACAGCACAAAAATCTTTTGCAGATGACACAGCGAAGGGGAGCGTGTCCGACTCGGCACATTCTTGTGGTGGTGTATCAGCATGAAGAATCATACACACACTCGGCGCAACATCACAGTACTAAAGGCTATTTTATGACCTAAAACCACAGGATTTGGGGGCTTGTTGCTTGTGGTCTGGCATAGCAGCAATTCTCCAAGAACAGCTTGGAGACTATACTCCGCTAATTAAGATATTTAGAAGAAACAACCCAAGTTTGCCAGAATGCACACAGCACCCCCTGGCAGCCTCCGTATTTTGGCTTATTTGTAGTATTGTTCCTCATTGAGAAACCTGGCAAAAATTCCTTCAATAAAAAAAAATACTTATTTCAGTGTTTCTAAGAAGACCTAGAGGCAAACCAAATACTTATTAATTTCTAACACATCTCAGCAGATTGGATGAGGTATAACCTTCATCATCTCCAAACAACAGATTCATATTGTCAGTACTTTGAGTTTCTTGTTTGTATTTGAGAGCACAAAACTTTGAAAATTAAGAAAAAAAGAAAAAAGGAATTTTTTTAGAAGAATCAACTGTGAAATATAACACAATAACAGCTCATTTCTGGCATACAAACAATTCAAAGGATAACATGGTTTAACAGAAAATGATTAATAAGATGCAAGAGATCAGCTTGTCATCTTTTGAGGACAGGATGACAAGTCAATACAGAAGTATTTAGAAGTAAATAGCCCTGTTTTTAAAGAATTCTCAAGCAATTTTAAATTTAAACAGCTGTAACTGACAAATCTAAATAACTGACATTCCAAATAGTCATTTTTTTCCCACCCCACAAACTGCAATAGTCCTGCAAAAGAAAAGCACTTTTTTTTTTTTTACAGTTTATTTCTAACATTTAGCTGGCAGTTCATTAAAACACACATCCTCTTAAAACAAATTACTGTCTTTCCATTCTTATATAAGCACTGACCAAGTTCTGTACAAACATTTATGACAATAACATTAAATAATCTTGATGACCCAAAAATCTGGTTAATTCAAAGGTCTCAGAAAAGGCAGTAACCCAGCAGGCATAGAGAATGTGTCAGACAGAATAACGGCACAGCATCTGCTCTGAACAGTTGATACAAATTACGGAGATCTAGACTTTTATTATATAGCAGAAGCACGTGGAAATCATAAGCAGACGAAAGATGGGTTCTCTTCATGCCAAGTTATCGCGTGTAGAATCGTACATCAGCTGCATTTAAAGCTCCATTCTAGACTGCACAGTTACCAGCAATTCCAATCAACTCTGCAAGTCCTCACTGGGGACCAAAAGATATTTAGGAGTTTTTCAACTTCAAAAGAAATCCACGGCACCAAGTGGACTCAGCATCTCCCAGGACTGTGCCAAGCCCAGACGTACACAGAACTAGGTCTCCGGATTTACAAACACTTGTACTGAATTAGAAAACCAAAGCATTGAAGATTTATTTTGTTTTAATAGCTGTGGTTGATATGAAAATGGATAAACACACCCTGGAGGCTTGCTTTCTCAGAATGCGATTTCATACTCTACCTTCCAGAGCTACGACTGAGGTATGCCTTATGCCTTGCCTTCCTCTTATAGCTCTGCAACTTTTGAAGCTCTTCAGAGCGCCGCGCAAGGGACCAGCTGCTTCCATAACCGTAAGTCTGAAGATTCAAGAGCCTGTGCTGCCGATTCTGACCTCAGCTCCCATCAGACATCAGCGATACCCAGGGAGCTCTCCTGCAACGTGTGGTTCCTTTTATTCAAGGCCCCCCGCACCCCACTCAGCAATACAATGTCATCCTTGCTTAATACAATTCCCAAAACACTGTTTTCTTCTGTTGTGTTTCCTGATAGCTCAAAGCAGGAGGTTTCTCCTCAACTTGGTCCATCTGAAAAGGCTAAAGACAAGCATTCAAAGCAAAGCCAGGTTCCGATGGTCTCCTGAACTGCAACTTCTCTCGGAGAGAAAGATTCAAGCCTCTGCCCTCAGCCCCCAAACAGAAATCTTCTGACCCATGCCCTCATCAGTATTATCAATCTTTGGGGATGAAACATCCCTAGTCTCTGCACAGGTTTCAATTGAGGAATCTATCTTTTCTTGTGTTAGGGAAAAAAAAAAAAAGGTTTATATCTGAAGCAGTTCACAAAACCAAACACCAATTCTTTCATATCTATGGGGGCTGATCCAGGCTTAGGAGGACCTCTGCTCAAACGTTTCTAGTTTGAAGCCCAGCAGCTGTGATAGCCCAGACACATACAGCTAACACTAACATTCTCCACTTTCCCCCATTTAGCCAGTTTTGACAAAAATCTCTCTGCATAAAGATGAGCTGCCTGGTTTTCATCCTACAGCTAGAACCCTGGTGAACCTGCAAGATCGGCCAATTTTTGCTTTACATGAATACTTCCACAAGCAGCTTTTCCACACGACCTGGTAATGCTAACACTCAGCTTCTCAGACAGAGCTGTCTGATCAGGGGAGATGTGTCGGGTGGCACGGTGTTATGGTCCCAACACTGCGAGGGCAGAAAGAAGGGAAAAACCCAAATTAACTGAGACTCTTTGTGGAAGTCAGTTCACATCCCACTTCTGATTTCTGGTTCTTTTATTCACTTCTACCCACCCTCAGGAGGCCTCAAACCCTATTCTGAGAAGAGGGCATGCTTCGCCCTTCAGCCTTTCCAGTTGACCAACTCCAGCCCACAGCCTCTTTCACCTGGTTGCAAGCCTTAAGCAAATTTTGGCCCTACACATTCCTCTTGCTTGTCATTTATCTACATGATATGACAAGGGACAGCAAGAACATTTTTAGATCAATGTGAAACAAAAGCTGTACCTCTGCATGACAAAAAGTAAAAAAAAAAAAAAAAAAAAAAAAAAAAAAAAAGATCAGAACTTCAAAGTTTATATCCCAAACTATTTTCTGAGCCAGGACTTTTGAGTGAGGCCAATTTATACTCAAAGCACAACATAACTTATTGCTGGGAAGGACAGTACAATCAAAGAAAAATTCCACATGATAAACCCACACAAAGCTGCTTCCCAGCCCTGTGTGCTCTCATACTTACCACTTAGCTTGCCAAGAAGGCAACAAGGTCAGGAAGAACCGAAAAAGTCAGGTTAGAAGGTGAACAGTACAATAACTAACCAGTCATGAACACAAAGAAGAGATAGGTTTCTTAGACAATTAAAATAAAGACACCAGCCACACGCACTTGAGAGACCAGGATGATACTCTACGCGTAAGTGGCACTGTGAAAGTACACCACTTATGGAAGTGAAGAGCAATTTGCTTTTCAACCATAAAGCCTCTTCATGTCTATTGTGACTCAGCTACAGCACAGAGAGGGCTTGTTATAAGGAAGCGGTCTGTAAACAACAATTAAAAAATAACCATTGATTAGGGAAGCGTTTGGCTTGAAAACTGTCTGGCAAGCCCTCTCCAAAGTGTATCTGTCTGCTGGGGGTGGCAGATGTGCAGGCATTTTAGGGTCAGTCTTGAAGGTTTCAGCCTCATAGAACCACACCCCTAGGAGAAGTAGAGACTTTAGCAGATTACCTGTGTTATTACTACTTGCTACTATCTTAAATATCCGAGGAATGGTCCTCAAAAAAATGAAAGACTAGCTAAAAGCCTTTATATGCAAGTTATCTAAGCCGTAATCACAGTAAACCGTCTTATATTGTATTACAACAGGAAATCCAGTCATCTCTTTAGAAGTCTCCCTCTTCTGATGATGACACTCCATGTTCTGCACAGCCCCATCAATAGCTTTCCAGGACAGATGGTGACACAGATCCCTTCTAGCTAAAGTAATAGCATTAAATTACTCATAACAGGGAACCTAGAGAAGCAGATGCACCATGATTAGCAAGAATGCCAGTTACTTAAAGGCTTCTATTAAAATAAATCTCTTGGCACAGCAGCATAGCATGGGACACAGCACATGACCTCACCATAACAATCACAGATTAATAATTCCCATGAATGTCATCTAAACATCGGGCTAGCCTAACCCCATTTATCATCTGCCCTTCACAACAGGAGACAAACGGCTGTAAACAAAGCCTTCCACTGACAGACAGGCTGATCAGTTCTCAGATCTTCCATCCCCTTTCCCAGTCAGAAACGTGCCTCACTACCAGCTAACAACAGGGAGCACATCTTGCAAAGCCTTCATCCAGCAAACTTCACCTGGCACAGCCGAGTGGGACCAGGGGACTAAATGCAACTTGTATATTTTTCTAGTGGGGTAAAGGAACTATGGTTCATGGCAACAGAAACCCCCACAACTTGAGGAGCCTCACTACAGCTGGAGGAAGAGTGTTCACAGAACAAGAATGCATAATGCTGGATAAAACAGCTAAGGTACGTCTTAAGGTATCAGCTGGAGATACACAGAAGCCAGGCTGTGGAAAGTAAACTTGCCTTGTAGCATTTTGCTTTTGGTGAATTAAAAGAAAAAGCAACCCCACCAACCAACGCGGTGTGGCTCAGAACAACACCGAGAAGATTATGACCCTAAACCAACTGAGCCCTTCTCCTTGTGTTGCAGCCCTGGTGTAAAGCTCAGGCTGCACGTGGGCTCGGGTGCAGACACAGAGAATCTCTG